CTGTGCTGGGCCCGACCCGCAGATCGCAGCCCCCCAGGGATGGCGAGGTCCTCGTGGCCCTCACTGTGCTGGGCCCCCCAGCAGGCCTCGAAAATGGCGACAGTTTCGCAGATCGCGACAGTTTCGCAGATCGCCCCCCCAGGGATGGCGAGGTCTAATTTGAATCCGCGCGTGACCCTCACTGTGCTGGGCCCCCCAGCAGGCCTCGAAAATGGCGACAGTTTCGCAGATCGCAGCCCCCCAGGGATGGCGAGGTCTAATTTGAATCCGCGCGTGGCCCTCACTGTGCTGGGCCCCCCAGCAAGCCTCGAAAATGGCGACAGTTTCACAGATCGCACCCCCCCAGGGATGGCGAGGTCTAATTTGGATCCGCCCGTGGCCCTCACTGTGCTGGGCCCCCCAGCAGGCTTCGAAAATTGCGACAGTTTCACAGATCGCAGCCCCCCGCGGGCAAGACAGGAAGAGGCGGGAGGGGAAGAGGAGGAAGGGAGGGAGGAGGGACGCGACCACACTGCTCTATTCAAAACGAATATCCAACCAAGGAGGGTTGGGAAAAACAGAGAGGGCGGAGGAGGAGGAGAGGGAGGAGGAGGAGGAGGAGGAGGAGGAGGAGGAGGAGGAGGAGGAGGAGGAGGAGGACGAGGAGGACGAGGAGGACGAGGAGGACGAGGAGGAGGAGGAGGAGGAGGAGGAGGAGGAGGAGGCCCGAGTAGATGCCTCCCGGCCTTGCTCACTGTGCTGCACCCCCTGTCGGAGGAGGAAATTCAGACGCAGCGTGCCGAGAACGTCGAGATCGCGTCTGAGCTTGCTTCTCGGGGATTGTATGCTGAGCAAGCGGAGAAAAAGTCGTATCGGTGCGTCGGCCCGATGCTCCGAGGGGTAACGGATGAGCGATGGAATCGCATCCAACCCGTTGGCCGCCCCGCAGCAGAGTTTCAAGAACCAGCGCTCCAGAGAGCGAGTCCTGTGCCAAGTGTGCCTCAGCCAGATCAGATGTTTTATGTTCTACACCTTTTCTCTGGACAAAGGAGGAAATGTGACGTCCAGGACTACATCGACGCTGAGGCGAGGAGGTGTGGTTTGGCTTTGATTGTCCTCAGCATCGATGTTGCCAGCGACGAAGCGCGAAGTAATCTAGCGGCTAAAAAATCTGTGCACGAGTTAGTAAGTTTGGTTTTATCAGGCCTCGTGTGGGCCGTGCTGGCGGGTCCGCCATGCGAAACCTTTTCGCGTGAGCGGGCCCGACCGCCCCCACGTAGATCTGTTTATCCCAGAATCGCTCGTACTCCAAAGTTTCCGTGGGGGTTCCCTGCTAGAGGAGAGGCCGAATGGGACCAGATTGGCGTTTCCAATGCCCTCCTTCGGACTACAATACAGTTAGCGTTTGCTTGCAGCGCTGTAGGCGCTCGGTTTCTCATGGAACACCCCGAGTGCCCCATGGAGCCCCACCTTGTCAGTAGTTGGAGGTTGCCCGAGGTCCGACACGTTCTGACTTTGTCGGGGGCGGCCCTAATCAGTTTCGACCAATGCCAATTTGGGGCATGTAGTGTCAAGCCCACCTCTCTCCTGACCCTTGGCCTCCCTCACATCCAGAACATTATAGACAGCATGCCTGGAAGGGGAAGGTGTACGCACCCCTTCGGCCACGAGTCTCTGGCGGGTCTGTCGGCGTCAGGTGAGTATCGAACGGCGGCGGCAAAGCAGTATCCGCCCCAGATGTGCAAGGCCATAGGTTTGTCTGTCGTGGCGGGCCTCCCTCCATCCAACCTCAGCGTGGCCGAGCTCCACTCGGCGATGGAGGCCCGCGCCCCGCAGCTTGCGCCTTACTTTGCTCCATTGGATCCATACCTGTCGTAGTTCAGCCTGGATATTTCACGTGTGGTCTCATGTGTTGTGCAGTTGTTGTGTACATGTGCGTGTCTCACCTCTTGCATGCGTCCACCGCGGTCTCGAACCCCATCGGCAGTGGGAACAGAACAGGAGGAGGAGGAGGAGGAGGAGGAGGAGGAGGAGGAGGAGGAGGAGTCGCAAACTCAGCGCGAAAGCCTCGCGCGTGCGCCCTCGACCCCCTGCGACTCCATAATTTCCCGTTCTCTTAATTTAGTCATCAACCTCGCCCTCTTCTTGGCCTCAACCAGAGGAATCCCTTTCTCTCCGCTTCTGCTCCTCGGTGCGCCGCTCGCGCTCCCCTCTGGCTCTTATCCTTCGCCCCCTTCTTTATCCCTAACCGCTCCCTGCTCCAATTGTCCGTCATTCGCTTTGCCCCGGAGGTGGCCCTCGAGGCTTTGGCATCGGACTGTGCGCCTTCTTCGCCCCCCGCCCCCCTCCTGCGCGACTGTCCAGACCGTTGCGCCTCCCGCGAAAAATTCGCGAGAGTTTGGGCCCCCCGCGAAAAATTCGCGAGAGTCCCGCGAAAGATTCTCGTGAACCTTTCGCGCCGTGCGCTGTCCTCTGAAGCGCCCCCCGGGCTACCTCGCCCCCGTGAAACCCCCTCCTGGGCGATTCGCGAGGGTTGTTTCCGAGCGAGATCACCCCGGGCGACTCGTGCAGGAACTGAGCGGCGGAGACCCCCCCGGGCGACTCCACCGCTCGGACCGACTCCCCCCAGGGCGAGTCGGCCCGTCCTGGAACCCCCCCGGGCGATCCAGGACCCCCCGCACCCTCCCAGGCGAGCGGGGGCGCCTACGGGACAAAAAAAACACCCAAGTTCCCCATTTTGAGGGAACTTTGGCGGGGGCGATCCGCGCAGGGGCGGCAGTCGACCCCCCCCCGGGCGATCGACCGCGGCAGATCCCTCCAACGTAAAAAGCACAATACATACACGAAAAAGGCAACGACACAACACAACGCACAAAACACAACAACACAAACAAACACCGGACGGAACATAACACACACACACACACACACACACGCACCAAATCACAAAAACCACACACGCACACAACAACTATTAAATTATGGCTCCGGCTTTGCACACTTAATGAAGGGGGCCCTGAGAGCTTTTAGAACTGTTTTGTGGCACTCGTCGAGCCTCTTGGAGAATCGCGGCCAGCCCAAAACAACCTCATGGAGGGGAGGAGGAGGGCACCCCCGGGAGGGAAGGGGGCTATTGCAGGAGGAAAGAATTATATCGCTAGACCACCTGAACCCGAAGGGCTTGTGGGATTGCCATCCTTCCCCTCCTCCGCCTCCGCCGCCGCCGCCGCCGCCTCCTCCTCCTTCTCCTCCTCCTCTGGTCCTCCTCCTCCTTTTCCTGCCCTCGCGGTCTTCGGCGCACGCCTCGCTCAGATCGCACCCCACCGCAGGATAAGGTTTGCATGCGTTTTCCCGACTCAGTCTTTCGAGTAGGGGATCGACTACAGCGCTGGATTTCCACAGTTCGTCTTCTTTTCGAATCTACGAAGCAAACGCTTAATGGTCGTATATGCTCGTGCATTTGACCATGACAATAAATCCTGGGGTACATCAATTCTGTAGTCGATCCCCTACTCGAGTCGTGCTTCTGCTGGTTGCCTTGGCCCCAGCCGTGCCGACGTCCGCGGCGGCCACTGCGCTCGCGCTCGCGCTCTGCCTCCCGCGCCTCGCTGCCTGCGCGGCCTCGCTCTGGCGCAAGCCCGGGCGGACATGGCCGCGGTTGGAGCTGAGGACAGCTGGGCTCGACCTAAACTCTGAGGAGGACAAGGTACCCATACCTCTACCCTTCGCCCGTGTTCCCCTTTTTGGGCCTGCCCGAAGGTCCTCGTCGCCACCGCTGGATTCGCTTCGAAATCCTGGTCAGAACGCGCCCCAGGAGAGGTATGGGGAGTAGCTGTATTGGTACTTTTTGGTTTCTCCAACAGCAGGGCTCGACCTTTGATGGGCGACTTCGTGGACCGTTTTCGTTTTGGCGTCGTTTTGCAGCGACGGCGGAGCGAAGACAGCACGAGGGAGAGCGAAAACATAACGCAAACGGGCAACGCTGTTTCAGTCGAGCCCTGGATGACAGCACAGCCTGTCTCCACCCCCAGCCAGGGCCCGCCACTCCCGACCCCCACGGAGCACTGCGCTCCGATCGATCCGATCCCTTGTCGGCTCTGGCCTGCCAGATAGAATCTGACTTTCTGTTTTTCGGGCGATCCGATGCGGCCTGATGCTTGCATGGCGCTGTTGTCCGATGCGGCCGATTTGATACACATGACGATCCGATACGATTTCCTGAATTGATGCTGACTGTTCCTGCCGAGCTGGTGATTCAGGGGGTTTTGGCTGGGGCTCTTGGTGGCCAGACAACCACCCTCACCCCCAGTCAGGACCCCCATGGATCACCAGGTCGGGAGCGTGGGTCCTGGATGAGGGTGGGGGTGGGTTGTGCTGTCCTTAGGAGCGCATTCAACATATTCACCTCTCGCGACCAGGGACAGTTCTTGACACGCTCGTGGACCTCGGCAGGAAAAGTGTGCGTGTCATGTGTGTGCGCCGCCCTTCTCGCCCTCCTCTGCGTGCGTCTTCGTCCTCGACGCCCTGGCGTCCGTTCGCCTGGTCCCGCCTTCCGCTTCGTTTACCGCGCCTCCGCGTCTTTTCTCACGCACTACGACTCTGACCGCCACGACGCTGTGGGGCGAGGCCGCCGAGGTAAAAGTTCGTGCGTGCGTGTGTGTGTGTGTGTATGTATGTGTATGTGTGTGTGTGTGTGTGCGTGTCTCATCCGAGGGGCAGCGAAGATTACGCGCCTCGCGCCTCGCAGCCTGGGCCAGTGAGCCGCCCCTCTCCAGTGGAGGGGGGGGCGACGGCCCGGCGGCGCGAGTTGTGCTGGCGCCGAGCGCGGCGCCGGTTGGCCCAAGGGTAGCTTTCGCTTCGAGGGCCTGGCCTCGCTGCACCACCCAGCCCCTCCTCTGCGGCGAGGGGCAGCGGGCAGCGGAGATGGCCGCCGGCGGAGGCCCCCGCCTGGAGGCTCCGAGCGGCCGCGCAGCGCCAGCAGGCCCCGCGGGCGCTGCGGCATAGCGCCAGGGCATCTCGCGATGCCGCGGCGCGGCGGTGCCCGCGCCGGCGCGCGCTGGGGGCGCCACTGTGCGGCCGCGTGGGCGGCGCTGCGCTGGGGCGGCGGCTCCGGCGGCCTGGCCGTGGCGTTCGCCGCGGGGGAGGGTCGGCCGCGGGGAACCTCGCCGCTCGCCGCGGCGGCGGCGCTGGGTGGCCCTGTTATCAAGGGGTCCGTGGAGGAGGCGGTGCTGCCGCACAGGATGCACTTCGGCAGCAAATCATGGGAGCCTGGTGTACCCTCTGGCTTCCGTCTTGAGCGTCGATGAGCGTCTGGGAGCCGATGAGATAGCGCCGACTTAGCGTCGGCTAGCGTCGATTAGCGTCGATTCAGCGTCGATGAGTGTCGACTGGCGTCGATCAGCGTCGATTCGCAAGAGCTGACAGGATGGTGTGGGAGGCTCCCATGAGCTGCCACCGAAGGATCTACGCGAAGAACACGCTCAACGAGTCGTTAGCAGATTTCCGCCTCGGCGCTGGCTCTCTGCACGGCGCGCTGCTCGACTCGGAGGTGCCGGCCTTGTTCGGGGACCACCTCACTGGCAGCCGCGAGATGCTGACCACGTGCAGGGACGGCCCGTGCTTCAAGGCGGCGCTGCGGAGCCCCTCCGGGCGGGCGTGCACGGTGGCGCCCGCGCCGGGGCGGCCGACCTGCGAAGCGGCCGACCCCGAGCTCTGCTTGGAAACCCTGATGCCTCTGCTGCATCGGGCCGCGGTGCGGGCCGAGGTTCAGAGGAGGAAAGTACCGATGCCGCTACCCTTCAGTCGGGCATGTCCCACCACAGGAGGAATATACAACCATAGTAGAACATAGTCTGGTGCAGGTTTGGTCGTGCTCTTTTCGTTTGTGTTTGGTTCTCTGTTCTCACAAGATCCGCCTGTAGGAGGACATGCCCGACCCAACGCTACCCTTCCCCCGTCGCGACGGCCAGATTCGCCTCGGTACTCTGGCGGTGCCGGTACCTTTTTTGTCCCCCGAGAGGTGAGGGTGCACGAGTTGCAGAAGAAGCTGAGGGCCGCAGAGCTCGTCAACAGTGCGCAGGCGCCTCGGCAGCTCTGGCAATCCCGCGCGCCGCCCCGGAGCGGGCACGCCATGGCTGCTGGCCGCCTAGTGGACGAGCTCCTGGGGTTCTTCCTGGGAGTGCTCGAGCGGATGGACTACAACCCCCGGCTGGCGGCGTGCCTCGGGACCCCAGTGGGCCAGAGCATGCGGCACGAGGTCCTGGCGGCCCTCGAGCACCGCGATGCGGTGGAGAGCCGCCTGCGGTCGTTGCGCTGGAACCTGGCCTCGAAGAGCCTGGTCGAGGGCCGCCACGGCTGGCACTCCATGTTCGGCCGCCAGGCCTCCGAGGTGAGCGAGCAAGCGCCGCGGTCGGGCGGCCGCGCTGGAGGGGCGCGGGGGCCCGGGCAAGGATCGGTACGATAGAGACGGGTACGGAAGGAATGGGGGCGAAGCCCAACTTTCGAGTAGGGGATCGACTGAAGCATGGATGTACCCCAAAATTGGTCATATCTCGTCGAAGTTACGAAAAATACGCGGAATGATCTACGAGCGTTCTACGCATAGTTCGTACATTCGACGAGGAAATCAAATTTGGGGTAAACTAAATTTGTAGCCGTTCCCATACTCGAGCAATACTTACCTGACAGCGAAGACTGATAGGTTTCTAGCAGGGTCAAAAGAGAGCATCTTGACACCCCAGGGGGGTCTCGGCGGGATCCGGACAGGGTGCCCCGGGAAACCGGGGACTCCTTTTTCAGCCAACAGTAACACATTTCGTGGTCTTCGAGTTCCCAGAACTCCATTCCTGGGCATGATTTTGAATGCCTGGAGCCAACTGAAGGCCACTTCGTGGTCTTCGAGTTCCCAGAACTCCATTCCTGGGCATGATTTTGAATGCCCGGAGCCAACTGTAGGCCACTTCGTGTTCTTCGAGTTCCCAGAACTCCATTCCCGGGCCACATTTTGAATGCAGAGGCAGGCTGATGCTGAGGCTGAGGCAGGCTGAGACTGAGGCAGGCTGAGGCTGAGGCCGAGGCTGAAGGCAGACTGAGGCTGAGGCTGAAGCAGGCTGAGGCTGAGGCTGAGGCAGGCTGAGGCTGAGGCTGAGGCAGGCTGATGCTGAGGCAGGCTGAGGCTGAGGCTGAGGCTGATGCAGGCTGAGGCTGAGGCAGGCTGAGGCTGAGGCCGAGGCTGAAGGCAGACTGAGGCTGAGGCTGAAGCAGGCTGAGGCTGAGGCTGAGGCAGGCTGAGGCTGAGGCTGAGGCAGGCTGATGGCAGGCTGAGGCTGAGGCTGAGGCTGCAGGCTGAGGCTGAGGCAGGCTGAGGCTGAGGCTGAAGGCAGGCTGAGGCTGCAGGCTGAGGCTGAGGCTGAGGCTGAGGCTGAGGCCTGAGGCTGAGGCAGGCTGAGGCTGAGGCCGAGGCTGAAGGCAGACTGAGGCTGAGGCTGAAGCAGCTGAGGCTGAGGCTGAGGCAGGCTGAGGCTGAGGCTGAGGCTGAGGCAGGCTGAGGCTGAGGCTGAGGCTGAGGCAGGCTGAGGCAGGCTGAGGCAGGCTGAGGCTGAGGCCGAGGCTGAATGGCAGACTGAGGCTGAGGCTGAAGCAGGCTGAGGCTGAGGCAGAGGCAGGCTGAGCTGAGGCAGGGAGGCTGAGGCTGAGGCTGAGGCTGAGGCAGGAGGCTGAGGCCGAGGCTGAGGCCGACTGAGGAGGCTGAAGCAGGCTGAGGCTGAGGCTGAGCCTGAGCTAGGCAGGCTGATGCTGAGGCTGAGGCTGAGGCTGATGCAGGCTGAGGATGGCTGAGGCTGAGCCGAGGCTGAAAGCAGACTGAGGCTGAGGCTGAGGCTGAGCTGACTGAGGCTGAGGCAGGCTGAGGCAGGCTGAGGCAGGCTGAGGCTGAGGCTGAGGCTGAGGCTGAGGCTGAGGCCGAGGCTGAAGGCAGACTGAGGCTGAGGCTGAAGCAGGCTGAGGCTGAGGCTGAGGCTGAGGCTGAGGCTGATGCTGAGGCAGGCTGAGGCTGAGGCTGAGGCTGATGCAGGCTGAGGCTGAGGCAGGCTGAGGCTGAGGCCGAGGCTGAAGGCAGACTGAGGCTGAGGCTGAAGCAGGCTGAGGCTGAGGCTGAGGCAGGCTGAGGCTGAGGCTGAGGCAGGCTGATGCTGAGGCAGGCTGAGGCTGAGGCTGAGGCTGAGGCTGAGGCCGAGGCTGAAGGCTGAGGCAGACTGATGCTGAGGCTGAAGCAGGCTGAGGCTGAGGCTGAGGCAGGCTGAGGCTGAGGCAGGCTGAGGCAGGCTGAGGCTGAGGCAGGCTGAGGTGAGGCTGAGGCTGAGGCTGAGGCTGCGAGGCTGAAGCAGGCTGTGACTTGCCACTGCGACTGTCATCGCGAATGCGACTACGACTTCGAGAACAGCAGAATTCTAGAACTGGATTCTCATCTGAATCTTAAGGGGAATGCTTCCGGATAAGCTCCTACACATCGCTGGTAGGTTGCTTTGCCGGGATAAATTTTGTCCATGTTGAACAGATTCGCCGCGGACGCTGTCCATTCGAGAGACAAGGTCACCTTCCAACACCGGCGGCTGTCGATTTGGGATAACATGGGAGCGACGCAACACAACGGGATCGTCTGCGCCGACATTGGCGCAGAAGCTGCCCGCGTAAGGTTGCGCGCAAGCGCACTCTTTCCCAATGGAGCGTGCCGCGCAGGAGGCCCGCGTAAGCCGCCGCGTAAGGTCGCTACGCCATCTCGCGCAAGACCTGCTGTTGATCGACGCCCTACCGTACCCACTGCGGGCGTGCCAAACAGACGGGCGGACCTTCAGGTGGCCGAAGGCGCAGAAGCAGCCGCAGCGGCGGGGACTCCCTGTGCGGCCTGGACAGCATCGCTGGCCTTTGGAGGGCTGGCCTCGCTGAAGGGCAGCGGGGGCCCAGGAGCGGCCAAGGAGACTCCCCCAGTGGCCGGCAGAGAGAGAGCAAGGCCCAGACGGGTCGTTCTTGATCGGCTTGAGACGTTCTGCTTTTCGCTGCCTCCGCTGGGTCTGTCTGCCTTTTCCTGGGCCCTCCCGCGAGGAGGAGCGCGCTTCTCGGTCTGGACAGGATGGGTGCCCTGTTGCCGATGGCAGCGCGAAGCTCAGCCGGTGACCTGCGTAGCAGTTCATTCAGGAGGGGAAGAACACACAGGCACACATATTCGTCGATCCCCAGGAAGATATTGAAAATATGGCAAGTGGAGGGGAAGACGAGTATCAAGGAAACGTGGGAAATATGGGTTGTGTCTCTTTATCGGAGGTGAGGGGGTGAGATCGAAGTGGAACGGAGAGCCCCCCTACCGGGAAATCGATTATGGTTTCGTGTTCGTGCGTGCCGTGCGCGCGGGCGAGGCGAAGCTGCGTGGGCGGGCGAGAGGAAAGTCTCCTGTGGCTGAGGCGCGGCCGGACCAAATGTTTCTCTTCCGGGCGGCCAGTGGCGCGCGGTGTCCCGCCGGTGTCCCGCTGGTGTCCCGTCGGTGTCCCTGTGGCTGAGGTACGGCCGGACCAAATGTGTCTCTTCCGGGCGGCCGGTGGCGCGCGGTGTCCCGCCCGTGTCCCGCCGGTGTCCCGCGGTGTCCCGTGGTGTCCCGCGGTGCCCCGCGGTGTCCCGCCGGTGTCCCGCGGTGTCCCGCGATGATGATGATGATGATGATGATGATGATGATGATGATGATGATGATGATGATGATGATGATGATGATGATGATGATGATGATGATGAGATGATGATGATGATGATGATGATGATGATGATGATGATGATGATGATGATGATGATGATGATGATGATGATGATGATGATGAATGAGATGATGAATGATGATGATGATGATGATGATGATGATGATGATGATGATGATGATGATGATGATGATGATGATGATGATGATGATGATGATGATGATGACGATGATGGATGATGATGATGCTGACCCCGATGATGATGATGATGATGAAGATGATGATGGATTGATGATGATGAAGATGATGATGATGTCGAGATGAGACGATGATGATGATGATACGATGATGATGGTGTCCCATGATGATGATGATGATGATGATGATGATGATGATGTCGATGATGATGATGATGAACGATGATGATGATGATGATGATGCTGATGCCGATGGAGTCCCGATGATGAGGATGATGATGATCATGATGATTATGTTGATGATCATGATGATGACGATGATGGTGTCCCGATGATGATGAGTATGATGATGTTGATGTTGATGATGCTGATTATGATTGTGTCCCGATGATGATGATGTTGATGATATTGAGGTTGATGATGATTATGGCGTCCCGATGATGATTATTATGATAGTGATGATGATGATGTTGATGATGATGGCGTCCCGATGGTGACGATGATGATGATGTTGTTGATGCTTGTGTTGGTAATGATGATGATGGTGCCCCGATGATGACGATGATGATGCTGATGATGATGCTGATGATGATGTCGATGATGAGGATGAGATGATGATGATGGTGTCCCGATGATGATGATGATGATGATGATGATGATGATGATGACGATGATGATGATGATGATGATGATGATGATGATGATGATGACGATGGTGATCATGATGGTGTCCCGATGATGATGCTGCTGCTGATGATGATGACGATGACTGTGTCCCGATGCTGCTGATGATGCTGATGATGCTGATGATGTTGATGATGATGATTGTGATGATGGTGATGATGATGATGGTGGTGTCCCGATGATGTTGATGACCGTGATGATGATGTTGGTGTTGATGATGAGGACGGTGTTCCGATTATGATGATGTTGGTGATGATGATGGTGATGTTGATGTTGTTGATGATGATGACGTTGATTGTGATAGCGGTTGTGATATCGATAGTGATATCGATAGTGAGACCGAATGGGATATCGATTGTGAGATCAATTGTGATATCAATAGTCAGATCAATTGTGAGATAGATCGAGTGAGATCGATTGTGAGATCGATCGATGGAGATCGATCGAGCGAGACCGATACTGAGATCGATAGTGAGATCGATAGTGAGACCGATCGAGTGAGTCGTTGGTTACTCCCCCCCCGAACCTCCTTATCACCCGAAGGGTGGTCGTATAGGTGTATATATACGTAGCACCCCGCAATTGCGGATAAGAGTGAGGGGGCGGGCGCGGGCGACGCGGGCGTCGTCGAGCCGGCGGACCTCGTGGCCCCCACCTTCCCTGTCGATGGCGCTCTCCTCCTCCTCCTCCTCCTCCTCCTCCTCCTCCTCGTCCTCTTCCTCGTCCTCGTCCTCGTCCTCATCGTCATCGTCATCCTCCTCCTCCACCTCGTCGTCTTCCGCCTCTTTTTCCTCGTCCTCCCTCTCCCCCCCTCATCGGCCTCCATCATCGTCCTCCCATTGTCGTCCACCCCCTCATCGGCCTCCATCATCGTCCTCCCATTGTCGTCCATCATCATCCTCCTCCCCCTCCTCCCCCTCCTCCCCCTCCTCTTCATCCTCCTCCCCCTCCTCCCCCTCCTCCCCCTCCTGCTCCTCCTCCGCCGTCCCTCCTCCTCCTCCTCCTCCTACCTCTCCTCCTCCTCCTCCTCCTCCTCCTCCTCCTCCTCCTCCTCCTCCTCCTCCCCCTCTGGCTCCACATTCACCTTACATCCTCTCTTCTTTCGCGTCCTCCTCGTCCCCTGTTTACTCCTCCTGCCTCCCCCTCCTTTCCCAAGATAACGGCAACGCAATGATTTTGTTCCACGTTATGCTCCCCGACTTCTCTGATCAAGGCAACTCGCCAGGGCAAAGTTGCTGGACGGGCTGGTGTGGATGCGCGCGGGGTTTGAAGAGGTCAGTGCGGGCTCAGACGGCATGCGCAAATCCGCCGCCGCGCTTGTGCGGCATTGGTTTGTTCAGTGAACGTGGCTTGGGTCGCGGGTAGGTTGCGGGCTCTCCACCTCCACCTGGAAGGAATGTAAAAAGCAACCCGCCGCAGGCGCCGAAAAAAATGGTTTGTACACTGAACGTGGAATGGTCGCGGGTGGGCCGCGGGTTCTCCACCGGGAACGAATGCAAAAGATGCCCGCCGCCGGCGCCGAAAAAAATGTTTGTACCCTGAACGTGGTCGCGGGTGGGCCGCGGGCTGTCCACCGCCGAAAAATGTGGTTTGTACCCTGAACGTGGTTTGGGTCGCGGGTTGGTCGCGAGTTGGTCGCGGGGTGGGTCGTGGGTTCTCCACCTGGAAGGAATGCAAACAAAGCCCGCCGCAGGCGCCGAAAATGGTGCTTTGTACCTTGAACGTGGTTTGGGTCGAAGGTGGGTCGCGGGTGGGTCGCGGGGTGGGTCGCGGGTGGGTCGCGGGGGGGTCGCGGGTGGGTCGCGGGGGTCGCGGGGGGTCGCGGTGGCGCCGGCGGGTCGCGGGTGGGTCGCGGGTGGGTCACGGGGTGGGTCGTGGGGTGGGTCGCGGGGTAGGTCGCGGGTGGGTCGCGGGTGGGTCGCGGGTGGGTCGCGGGGTGGGTCGCGGAGTGGGTCACGGGTAGGACGGGGGGTGGGTCGCGGGTGGGTCGCGGGTGGGTCGCGGGGTGGGTCGCGGGGTGGGTCGCGGGTGGGTCGCGGGGCGGGTTGCGGGTGGGACGACGACAACAAACAACAACAAACAACAACAAACAACAACAAACAACAACAACAACAACGAAAATCCGCACCGCGGAATTCCACTTCAGCCACGCACCCAGGGACAGTGAATGACCGTTCGGCCCCCTCAATACCTGATATATTGTATATATAAATATAATATTATATATAAATATATATATAATATATATATACCAAAATATTTATGTGGTAGGGTACTAGTGATATATATAGATATATATATAATAAATATAATATTCTCATAGTTGTTCGTAAGGAAAAATAAATCAAACGCACCTCCTCCGAGGTGTAGAGCCTCAGAAGGCGATTGTGCGTCTACAGCGCTCGCGATTTTTCTGGGCGTTTCGCTCGGGACATCCTCGAAATTCTGAAAATCGGTGGCACCCCACACGCAGATCGTGACGTCAGGGTCCAAAAACACATGGGAATTTCAACATTTAAACATAAAACCTTCAAAAACACATGGTAATTTCAATAATTGTGACCCCGATTCTCAGGGAATGGCGGTTTCGTTTGAAAAATCCTTCCAAAATCGAGCCCCAGACCCCGCCTCGGAGCCTCCTGGGGGCCTCCTGGAACCTCCTGGGGCCTCCTGGGGCTTTCTGAACCTTCTGGCACCCCAGACCCCGCCTCGGAGCCTCCTGGGGGTGACACCTCGATTCTCAGGGAATGGCGGTCTGGGGCGCTTGAACAAATCCTCACAACATTTTAACATAAAACCTTCAAAAACACATGGTAATTTCAATAATTGTGACCCCGATTCTCAGGGAATGGCGGTCTCGCTTGAAAAATCCTTCCAAAATCGAGCACCGGACCCCGCCTCGGAGCCTCCTGGGGGCCTCCTGGAACCTCCTGGGGCCTCCTGGGGCTTTCTGAACCCTTCTGGCACCCCAGACCCCGCCTCGGAGCCTCCTGGGGGTCTCCTGAAACCTCCTGGGGCCTCCTGGGGCCTCCTGCGGCCTCCTGGAGCCTCTTGGGGCCTCCTGAAGCCTCCTGGGGTCTCCTGGGGCCTCCTGAGGCCGCCTGGGGCTTCCTGGGGCCTCCTGGGGCTTCAGAACTACATGCACACAGAGACACAAATCACGCCCAACACATCACACGCTAGACAAACATAACACACACACACACACACAACACCTACAACACACAAAAAGCACGCACCACAAAAAGCATACATCACACACACACACACGCACAACACTCACAATCCTGGGGCCTCCTGGAGCCTCTTCTGGTATCCAAGTCGGGCCTCCTGAGGCTTCCTGGGGGGTCCTGGTACACACATCGCAAGGTGTGGCAACCCCACTTGCGCTCGAGTGCGACTTCGATGTTGCATTTCACTCCTGCTTCAAACGCCCCTTCAGTTTTTTGTATGAACCTGGGCACACACGTGCCACTTGTATATATATATATATATATATATATGTGTGTCCTTGGGCCCCTTTATTCATATCCTCTCCCCGTCCTCTGGGTGGTCGGCCGACCGCTGAGCAAGCACACTGGCTCATCGCGCGCCTGCTCAAGCTGCCGGCTCGCGTGCAGACCTTGTGCGAGGAGCGCGGCCACGGCGAGGCCAGAGACGACGATGGTGGCGGCGACGAGGAGAGCGAGGGCGAGGGCGACGAGGAGGACGAAGAGGAGGAGAAGGAGGAGGAGGAGGAGGAGGACGACGACCCAAGATCTGGGACGACGTGATTCACAGGCTTACGCCGCACGGCCGACCCCTCGGGGGCCAAGCTGCGGGGCCAGCAACAAGCGGCGGATTGGGAACCTTTGAGTGGGCTCTTCGAGGCCTCTCGGGGGAGCCTTTGGGCATCTTGGGGGCTCCTGGGCGGTCTCAGAGGCTATCTTGGTCTCAGGGCACTTTCGCTTCCCCTATGTTGGGGGCCGTCTTGGGTTTTTTTGGGGCCGTCCTGGTGGCATCGTGGGCCGTCATGGGGCCTTTTCGGGCGCTTTGGGGGCTCTCTTGGCGACCTCGTGGGCCGTCTTGAGGCGATGCTGGAGGCCTCGGAGGCCCTTGTGAACGCTGCGTGGACCGAAAAGCGAAGGCGCTACAGTGGTTTATCCTACGTCTTGTCCTCGCCTGCAGCGGTCACTTGTCAGCCCCGCTGTCTGTGACCTTGCCGCGCCATTTTGGCTGCGGTTAGCTCCTTGGTTCAATTCGTGCATCGGCTCTGCTCCCCGGTCCTGGTCCTGGTTGCAGTTTGCATCGCCCGCTGGCAAGGTTTCGGGTTCTGCCCCGCTGCCTGGCTCCTCCTCGCGCCGCCCGGCAGCTTAGACAGCTTAGACAGCTTAGGTAGGCCGCCGGTCCTCGTGCGCTGGGCAATTGGGCTCGCGCGTAGCCCGCCCGACCTCTGACGCTGCTGGCGCGCTCGCTTGCGGCCGCGACGGAAAACATATCCCCACCAGTCCTCTTCCGCTACGCTAATTTAGGCCGTTGCTCGTGTGCAATCTCCTGGACGCCGCCCGACCTGTCTCCGCCGCGGTCGCGATCAAAGAAGCATCCCCGCCAGCCCATTCAGAAGCGATTCCCATGAGAGCTGACGGGGTGAGAGAGGAAAAGACACACATAGTCAAACAGCGAGGGAGGCCGGCCTGGACGGCGTGTTGGGGCCATCTCTGGGCCCGCGTTGGGGGGGCGAGGAGGAGAAGGAGGAGGAGGAGGAAGAGAGGGAGGCGGAGGAGGAGGAGGGACGAGGCAAGAGGAGCAAAACGATGAGAAGGTGAACCAGAATGAGGAGGACCAGGACTAGGGTAGCGAAGAGGAGGAGGAAGAGGAAGGGGGGGAGGATGAGGAGGAGGAGGAGGAGGAGGAGGAGGAGGAGGAAAAGGAAGAGGACGAAGGGGGAAGGGGATGATGATAACGAACGTGAAGAGGATGACGAGGAGGAGGAGGAAGAGGAGGAGGAGGGGGAGGCGGAGGAGGAGGAGGAGGAACTTGACGAGGACGAGGACGAAGAATATGGACGATAACTGGAGGACGAGGAGGAGGATGAGGAGGAGAAGGAGGACGAGGATGACGAGGATGAGGAGGAACAGGAGGAACAGGAGAAACAGAAAGAGGAGGAGGAAAAGGAGGACGAGGAGGTCCTCATTTTTCTGCTTGCTCTCGTCCTGTTCTTTCAATCCCGCTTTGTACAGGCATCACGGCTCTGCCTTGAACTTTATATATACATACATACATATAGATATGGATATATTGACGATGAGGTCGACGAGGGTGAGGACGAGGAGGGGGACGATGACGAGGACGAGGAGGACGAAGAGGAGGACGAGGACGAAACGGCGTCTTGAGTGTTTCGGGTGAGTTTCTTGGGCCTCTTGGGGGGCGATCAGGGGGCCTCTTGGGGCCTCTTGGGGCGCTCTTGGGGCTCTCTTGGGGGCCTCTTGGGGGCCCTGAAGGGCCTCTTGGTGTCATCTTGAAGGTTGTCGGTCACAAGAGGGCGGGCCCCCGATGTCTGCGACCCCATCGGGGGCCACGATCCTCATGAGGGGTGTCAACAATTGGCCCTCCCACTGGCCGAAAAGAGGACCCTCTGACACATCGGTCCCCTTCAGGGAAAACCCATCCTCGTCTTGGTTTCGTCTTAGATCCCTGGTGGCCTCCACAGATGCCGGGAGGCCTCCACCACGACAACGGACCGCGACCGCAACCGCCAACGACGGTGGCGGCGGCGGAAGCGTTGGCGGGAGGGCGGCGGCGAGGCGCTGCGGCTGCTGCCGACGGAGCTGGAGGAGGGCGCCAATGAGGAGTTCGGGTTGCTCGCGCGCGAGTCGCGGCACTCGGGCGGGTGGTAATGGGGGTGGCCTAATAAATGGGGGGGTGAAGAGGCGGGCCCTAAGGGGGGCCTTTAGTAGGGCCCCTTTTCGGAGCCAGCAGGGGCCTACAAGCTTCCCCGAAGGGCCCCTTTGGGGCCCTACTCTTCACCCCTCATTCAGATCACCTCCCCAGTACCACCCGCCCGAGGCATCTGGGCTCGTGGCCGCCGGACCGCGGGCTGCTGCGCTTCATGCTGGCCAAGGCGCCGCCGCCGGCTGCTTTCGGTGGTCCTCAGGGCCCAGGGCCTGGCGAAGAGAACTGTGCACATGCACCGATCTTGGCCAGGCCCATTCTTGGCCCAGGATCGGTGCACATGTCTTCCTGACCCAGGCAGGAGGGCGCATGCACCGATCCTGGGCTCAGAACGCCTGGTCAGAATCGGTGTATGTGAATAGTTCTCTTCTATCAGGGTGCGTGTTGGCGAAAGGTGTGTTTGCGGTTTGAGCCGGCTGGCGGCCAGCAGGTGATTAGGGGGGATAGAACGGGGCCTCCTCGTCGCCACGGCGAGACGCGGCTCGAAAAGCTTGTCGGTTTCGGCCCCGAGAGGGGTCCAGGGACCAACTTTTGAAGGGAGTTGCCTTCGTCCGTCCCTCTTGACAGATTTTTTCTTCCAGGGCAGACCCCTGGCCGCTTCCAAGCTCAAAGTGCGCTTGCGGCAGGTTCGCGCCGTGTCGACGCGGCGGCGACCCCAGCGCGGATTTTAGGCTGAACGCCGCTGGTGGCCTGGAATCGATCGTTATATCGAGCGTTTGCGACATCGGAGGGCTACGACCGCTCAAGGTGAACGATCCAAGACGTGTCAGGAACCGACGTCCGCGTCGACACAACGTGACCGTGCCGTACCCCTGTCAGCTCCACCAATAGCACGCAGCCTGCGTCGGCTATCATTACACGGACATCGCATTGTGTCATGGTTCCTAGAGCTTGGCTGCGACTTATTTTCAGCCCTGGTGCTTTTCCTTAATTTTCATATCCTGTGGTGTTGGGTCCTCGTTTTGAAGGGACGGTCCCCGCGTTCACTCCTCCTCCTCCTCCCGCTGCCCCCTCCTCCCTCCTCCCTCCTTCCATCTCTGCCTCGGCCTCTCCTCCCCGCATGCCGTCATCACGATCATTATCGTAATATTCATCGTGATCATCATCGCCATCATCGGCGTCATCAACATCGCCATCGTCAACGTCGTGCCTCTGTTCTCCGTGCGCAGTCCATTCCGGCACACCCCTCACGAGGAATGTGGCCCCATGAGGAATGTGGCCACATTTCGCCGCCCCATTTCGGCACACCCCTCACACGGTTCGTGGCCCCGTAGGGAGCCCCATTGAAAGCCCCGGTGGCAGGGTCCGCATGGCGACGCCGCTCCATTTCGGTACACTTTACACGGCTCGTGGCCCCACCGAAGGCTCCAGTGGCAGGGTCCGCATGGCGCCGCCGCCCCATCCTGGCGCACCCCTCACATGGTTCCTGGCCCCATAGGCAGTTCGGCACACCCTTCACACGGTTCGTGGCCCCGTAGGGAGCCCCAGTGAAATCCCCGGTGGCAGGGTCCGCATGGCGCCGCCGTCCAGTTTCGGCACACACCTCACACGGTTCGTGGCCCCACCGAAGGCTCCAGTGGCAGGGTCCGCATGGTGGTGCCGCCCTGTTCTGGTGCACACCCCTCGCACGCTTCGTGGCCCCATAGGGAGCTTCACCGAATGCCCCATCGGCAGGGGCCGCATGGCGCCGCCGCACCACTTCGGCACACCCTTCACACGGTTCGTGGCCCCATAGGAAGCTCCACCGAATGCCTTGGTGGCAGGGTCCGCATGGCCCCGCCGCCCCATTTCGGCACACCCCTCACACAGTTCGTGGCCTCATAGGAAGCTCCCCCGAAGGCTTCAGTGGCAGGGTCCGCATGTCGCCGCCGCCCCATTTCGGCACACCCCTCACACGGTTCGTGGCCCCATAGGGAGCCCCATTGAAAGCCCTTGTGGCAGGGTCCGCATGGCGCCGCCGCCCCATTTCGGCACACCTCACACGGCTCGTGGCCCCACCGAAGGCTCCAGTGGCAGGGTCCACATGGTGGCGCCGCCCCATTCTGGTGCACACCCCTCGCACGCTTCGTGGCCCCATAGGGAGCTCCACCGAAGGCTCCAGTGCCACCGTCCACATGCGTTCTTCCCCACCCACTTCGGCACACCCCTCACACGGTTCGTGGCCCCATAGGGAGCTCCACGGAAGATGATAGTCACAACTGCGTTATTCACAATTGCATATGCTTGGGTCCTTCGCCAGGTTAATTTCCATTCTGGTCGTCGAGAGGGAGCTGTGGGCGTCACACCTTCCCTCAACCTCTACAACCACTCCCGTCTCACACGCGGAATCTCAAGCTCAGGCTCTCATCGCACAGCTGCAGTTCAGAAACAGTTGAACGCAACAACAAAACTTCAGTGCGCAAGAAGCGTCCTGGTCGTCGAGAGGAAGACGTAGGCTTCACACAATCCCTGAACCCTTCCATGCCAATCTCGTCTCACACGCGGAATGCCAAGCTTAAGGTTGGACTCCGGGGTCCGTCTTCGGGCCCAGGCGCCCTCAGGACCACATAGCTCATACCACATCGCTCACATCACACGTATTACACAACCTAGCTTACAGCACATTCATATGTACATAACCATGCGTTCACCGCGTAGCTCATACCGCATAGCGTTCGCCGCATAGCTTTCACCACGTAGCTTGCACACCATATCTTACACCACATAGCTGGCACACTATAGCGTGCATTGCGCAGCTCACACCGCAGAGCACTGTTCGGGGTCCACGCTGGGTCACATCGTTGTGTTACTTCAAGTGTATGTTTAACCATGGCTTGTTTCTCCTGTTTTCTCGTCTCTTGTGGGCTCTCGTTTTCCACGGCTGGACGCTACTCGACAACAATTTGCCAGGACGGACTTCGGGAGGGGCCCAGGGGGGACGATGAGAAGGCGGAGGGTAGAGGATCGGGAGTCGACGATCAGGTCTTTTGGACGTTTCCTTGCCCTCTTCTGGACTCCAGGGGGCTCTGGAGGAGGCCTCGGGAGTTGGCGGACGACGTCGGTTGTCGATCCTCTTCGCTGCCGCCGCCGCCGCTGCCACCACAACGCGGCGGCGGCGGGGTGGCCGTCGTGGTCGGAGGCTGCGATGTCGACTACGACACGGGCCACCGAGACGATACGTCCTCCCTCCCTCCCTCCTCCCGCCTGCTTCCGCTCCTCCCTTCCTCTCTCCTTCTCGCTCCTCCTCCTCCTCCTCCTCCTCCCCGCATCCGCCGAGAAGAGGGAGAGAGTATTGCTGGCCGACGCTCGGACACCGATCTGTGACCACGCCCACTTCCCGAAGCTCGATGGCTCAGAAGCTCCTTGGGGGTGTACTCGTTCCCCCCCCCCTGAATGGGAGAGAGTTGCACGCCCGACGTTGAAAGTAGGGATTCTCGGATTCCCAGATCCCAATCTACTTCAAGCGCCTTCCGACTTCAAGAATCGATATGCTCTTGCTGTGTTATGCTATTTCTTTGGATGGCCTGGACCCAATCTACTTATGTGCCTTCCTGCTTCATGTGTTTACCGACTTCTTCCGACCGACGTGTGCCGCGGCCGATTGGGCTGACCAGAGCCGCTGGTGGTACGGCGCTTGCGCCGCCGAGCGATGTCCAAGAGCGGCCCCCCAGCCCAGGAGGCCTAACCAAAGCCCTTGTAAGTCAGAGGAGGGAAAGGTACCCCTACCGCTACCCTTTCCCCTTTTTGGGTCTCCTGGGGGGCCCTCGTCGCCACCGCTGGATTCGCCTCGAAATCCTGGGCAGAATGCACCCCGTGAGAGGTCTGGACAGTAAGCGGTGTTAGTACTTGTTGGTTTTCCCAGTGAGGCCCCCAAGATGCAGAACAGTTTCCTCCGTAGCCATTTTGGCTCAAGCCATTTTGGCTCAAGGCTCAATCCTGTTCCCTGGGGATTGATCCTTGGTCGCTGCCGACGGGGAGGCTCGAGGGCCCCTCCAGCAGCTGGAGCTTCACATTTGCACTGCCACTCCTTCCCGTCTTCTCCGTTTACTCATGCCTGCTTCTGGCAACCGCGCTCGTGGCAATCGCCGTGAGCCATCTAGTGATGTCAGCTCTTCCGAGGTTCGTTCCAAGAGTCGCTCGAACAGGGAGGTCTCCAGCTCGCGGGACGCCAAATTCGACCTCATCCTCTCTGGTCTCCAAGGGCTTAGTCAGCAAGTTGCGACGAGCTCGGCTGAAGTCACGAAGCTCAAGACCCAGATGGACTTGCAATTGATGCGCTGCGATCAGCTGACGACAAACATGCAGATGATGGGCAATGATATCCACAGTCGCATCACTCACATGGAGGGGATTCACGCTGCGTGTACGACCGACCTTCGGGACTCAATCGAGAAAATGAATGCCAGGGTCTGCGACTTAGAGAGTTCGCCGACTCCGACTTCTGCCTCTGATTCCTCCTCCGCTGCGGGCTCGCACGTTCAGAAGAAGATTGCAGACATTGAGGAGAAATTATCATTTCTGTCTTCGGCAGGCTCTACGCGCTCGTCTCGCGTGGTGAACTCTGTACACACGGAGCAGACGAATGACAACCACACGAAGCTGATCGCCCTGGGCTTCCCACGTCGTATGCTTGCCTCTACTCTCAAGACTATCGGTGAGGCGACCCGCACCAAATATTCTCCATCGGCCTCTCACGCTCGTATTGTGATCAAGGCCTTTGACCTTACCCGTAAGATTTCGCTCCACTTCGAGACTGCGACGGAAGCAAGTGACTTTCTTCTGCGGTTCGAAGCAGATGGCAAGTTTGAGTTTCCTGACCCATTGGGCCACCAGCCTTTCTCGCTCCGCCTTCGTCGCGATGTTGATGCTCGATTTCGCCAGCTCTTCCTCAGCATGGGCAGGGTGCGGCATGAGATGACGCAGCTCTTGCGTCCGAGGGGGTGCGACGTCAACAGCAATGGCGTTGGCGGCAGCATCTACGTACTTCGAGCCAAGGATGACCCCGTGGTTCTTGCTTCGCTCCGGCTTGTTTCGGATGATGCCTCGGTCGAGCTGGATCTCGACATGACAGCTCTGGAGGAGTTTGGTATTCACCAGCACGCTGAGGCGTTTCGCTCTGCTGCCGCGGTGACGCTTCGCTCGCCCTTTCGCTGACGATCCATGCTGTCTATCGCCTGCACTGCCGCGTTC